AATTATAGTTAGTAGAATTGTTATACTTAAAAAGAAAAGACAAAAATATAGAGAATAAGTGAATTCATGTAATTATTATATTATTTTTTCAGTATTTAACTTTAAACATGATAGAAAGTAGTGCTCTTAGTGAAAGTGATGAAGGAGAAATAAAGTCAGATTTTGAAGATGACTTTCAGGAGGAGTTATCCGAGTTTCCTCATGTTTTAAAATTGATTAAAAGAATGCGTGATCATATTAAGAAACAGAATAAAAAAATTATTAAATTAAGAAATAAACTAAATGAACAGGTAAATATTAGATTTCATCTTTCTTTTCATGTATTTATCATAGTTATATATTTTATTTATATATATTATAGAAGAATCAAAAGTTGCTAGAGAAAAAGATATTAATTGACTATGGAACTCAAACAAATCCTTTGGAATATGAGAAAGAAAATTGCAATATTAATGATGATAAAACATCAGTCAATATTGCAGATCAAATTAAAGAAGCAGCTGAATCAGCTTTGTTGCAAACTGGTTTTGTTTATGAGGAAACTTCAGGTTTATATTATGATTATAATAGTGGATATTACTATGACGCAGTAAGTATTTATATAATCATTGTATCAAGTTAATAATGTTTAAATTTTATATAGGAACTGTATTTCAGAAACAAGGTTTATATTATGATGGCAATACAGGAACGTACTATTATTATGACGAAGCCAGCAGAACTTATCAATTTCATAGTCAAGCACAGGTGTCTGTGAATGATCCAGCTGTGCAAGTTCAAAACAAGAAGGAGCAGAAGATTAGAAAGGCGAATAAGGTTGAGATTTAATTTCTTGATATTTAAAATTTATTAAAGAAAGATCATTCGTAGAAGAAAATTTTTGATTTCAGGTTTCAGATGACATACATGAGTTAATAAATGGCCTTTCAAACATAGCAATTGAAAAATACAGACGTCAAGCCCTAGGTAATTATCCTATGCTTTTAATATGCACACATGTCTCTCTTGTAGGATGAGGGGAAAAAACGCAAACTTGCAAAAAGGGAAGAACATTTGGATGATAAAGAACTTGAGGAGGGTGAATGTTCAAGCAATGATAACGACAGCAATTCTAATGACATTACACCAGAATTATGTACTAGTAGTGACAGTGACCATGAAGAAGATCAAGGTTTATTTTTAATTTCTTTCTTAACATTAGCAAGGCCTCACTGCAAAAATAATTTCCGCTTTAGTTATTTATTTCACTATTTTATATAACTTAACACTTTTATTTATTGTGAAATGAAATTTATTATTTATGACTTTATTGTTATATTAATACAAGTATGCGTTTATAAATTATATGTCATTCACACTAAGAATTTAATCATATTAATTAGTTTATTGGTATATAAATATAAATTTTTTATTTCAGATCTAGCAAAAATATATCCCCCATGTATGAGAATCATAGTTAGAGAAACAAATCTGTCTAAATTAAAAATTGGTAGCCTCTTTCTTGTCGCATATACCGGTGGTTCAATTGGTCGAGAAGGCGATCACTCGGTAGTTATACCAGACATAAATGTTAGTAAAGTAAGTATTCATAGATATAGATAATTAGCTATTTAAAATTGATTTGAATAACTTTTGCATAAATTAATTTTGATATTTTACACTGTAGCATCATGCTCGATTATTATACAATGAAGAAAAAAAAATGTATCAAATCATAGATTTAGGATCAAGAAATGGTACATTTTTAAATGGTAAAAGATTGTCTGTAGCTAAACAAGAATCAGAGTTTCATGAAGTTTCACATGGTTCAATCATACAAGTTGGAAATACCAAATTATTATGTCACATTCATAATGGCAACGAAACTTGTGGCCATTGCGAGCCAGGACTCATTCAACAGTGCAATAGCATGGAAGAGAATAAAACTACAAAAAAGACACTTTATAAGCAAGAATTGAGACGATTAAAATATAAGTTTGGCGTGGAAAAGGATAATGTTGCAACTGCAAGTCAGTTGGCATCAGGTTACCAAGACAGAGCACAAAGTAGAAGGCAATGCATTGGTTCCTTGGATCATCATGCTAAAACACAACAAAGTTCAATGGATACGTAAGTACTTTAATTGTTCATTAAGATCCAAATATTTTCACTCTGAAATCATCATGAGCAATTTATAATTATGTGTTTTTTCATAATAGTATTTAAGCATAAAAACTAAAGTTATAAAATTAAAAAAAGAAATAAGACATTCTTTTTTACAGTTACAGTTTCTAATTTACTTAACCTTTTGATCTGGCAATATGTACATACATGCCTACTTTTTATTTTCAAGATTTATCATTATAATGATTTTATAAATCATATTTCATTTCATTCATAGGTCTATAACAAAGGACAACAGAGGTTTCAAACTACTATCGAAGATGGGCTGGACAGAGGGTCAGTCACTGGGAAAAGAGGGAGATGGCCGAACTGAACCGGTAAGTGGTTGATTTATTTTTCATTTCATAGTATTGTATCTCGGAATGAATATTTTAACTGTGATAAATGCACCGTTGAACTTACAATGGGAATATTCGACGTTTTAGGCCTAAATATAATTAACATTTTTAATAAGTTGTTGCTATCATACTACTTTAATATACATATAGATTCTTATGAACATGTTTAATTATTTTTATTATGCAAATTTTAAAGTCAACAATTTTATGAAAAATATATTTTATTGTAGAACATTGTTTAATATGAGAAACATTATGAGATATGTTTATGGATTGGTATATAATACAAATAATAACATACCAGTTTATAGCTACATTAGGGAAAACACAAATGGAAAGTAAAATTATTTTCATTTCTAAAATATGCGTTTAACACACAGGCGGACTTTATAAAAATATCTAAACATACATCATTTAATGTAAAGTAAATAATTAAAAAATAGGAAATAAATTGTCATTTGCCAAATTACTAGACAGAATGTTTACAATCGAACATAGATATAGAATCTAATAACTAATCTGGAATCTAGATTCTTATAAAATACTTTACGCAAATTACGAAAATTAAATAATCTTAATCTTCAAATTCTACAAATACTTCAGTAGAATTAACGATTAACAGGCAGCCATAAAATAAAGCTTCTACTTCACACAATATTTTATTTTACAAATTGAAATCTGACATAACAAATCAATATTACACAACCAGATTCATCATTATTAAAATATAAAATTCAACCAACAATTCTCTTACATGTATAATAATTTCTACGATACACAAGTAAATAGAAGAATACGCATTCATCCCTAACATTAGAACTACCGAGCATATAAATCGACTTTTCAAAATTTTTTTACAAAAGCTACAAACATACATTTATTAATACTGCGTTCGGCTTACATTTCAGTTTAAATATTACTAAATCAGTTTCTTTGATAATTTCTTAAAAAAAGTGTCTGTACCTTTCCAGTACTTGTAAAAGAAGAAATCAAGAACGGCCCATTTTGACTTATCAGATAGTTCCAGTTTTAACAGTAACCGTACCGGAAACCAGTCAAATGGTCGGACTTATAATTCTTTTCGCGCGTTCATTTAACTTTATATTAATTTCTATATTGTCTAATTAATCAGTTTTTCAATGTTTGTCTTCCCTTTTGTTTTTGGTTTCGCTAAAAAAAATGTATCATCTAACTTCTTTATCTTTATTTTGTAACCACTTGCTTGACTGATTACGGTGGGAAAAGTGTCAGTTCGGTTAATGTTAAACTAGTTCCAGTAGCTTAAAACTTAACACATTATTGACTAACAATTCTACGCAGAAGCTATCTCATGTCACCGGTAATTATTCTGTAATTAAACATGAAAGTGAAACAATCTAAATATACTTCAATATATTTTATTTATACATAATGAATTGAAATGAAACTTTAGACATATCTTTTATATAATTTTGCATATTTTGCTTTTGCAATATTCTATATTGTTCTGCATTTCTAAAATTGAAATGCCTATTGCAAGTGCAAACACGAGTTAACTCGTGACCGATGAACAATGTGTTAAGATTTATCGCAGATTCTACCAGCAAACTGAAAAATTTCATGATTTTCCGGTTACGGTCCAGACATCCGGGGTGCAAGGAACAATGTCCATTGTCCCCATCGATCGAGCGAGGCGCGAAGCCCGATAGAACGGGGAACTTGGGTCTTTGCACGAAAGCAGTGACCCAATTGTCAATTCCATCCATGCTTCGTCTAGCAGACGGCAAATTAGACTCCTAGGTCATATACGAGCATCGGCGTCGCCGTGGACGGTCCCCGCGCTCGTATATTAGCGAGCGTCGCCGCGTCGCGCGTGATATCGGACTGACGTCAATCGGCAATTGGCGTGCACGGGACACGTTCGTCGATTCGGTACCGGCGTGGCGCGGTGCAGCACGTGTGTGCCCGATGCAAAAGGTGTGCACAACAAACAAGCCGGCGTCGGCCGATGCCGCACGCTGACCATTCATTAGCCGGACCGTCGGTGCGGTCGCAGCGCGGCAATTCACAATCCAGACTGGTTGTTCGCCTTTTTCGCGCCGCGCTAACAATTTTCACCGCTCAACTCTGTCCCCACCCCCTCAACTTCCCTTGTACCATGTCCGTTCTTCTCCGCGGCCACCCTCATCCGACTGACCTATCGGATTCGTAAATACGTGCACACACGTACGCGTTGTAGATACAGGGTGTTTCTAGGATATTCCACGACCATCACAGTTTGATTCTATACCTCTCGTTTCAGGGAAAAATATGTTACAAAGGGGTCGCAGAATTTATGTTGCCTTTGAAAAGAAGGCTTAACATTTTTTATATCATGTTTTACTTATAACGAAGGTAAATATTTTGATGAGAACCGTGGGTGGGGAATGCTTTGCTTGCAAATTGCTGTAGAAGTTCGCAAGGTAAATTTTATTTATTTATTGAAAAAAATGTATTTTTGTTTTCTGAAATGTCATTGTTGTTATTGATTTTATTTGACTATGTAAAACAAATATATGTTTCTAAAACTTATACCAACTTCTCTTTCCAATATTTTGTTTCTTCTTGTACCGACAGACTTTGTTTATTTTTTCATTCGCGTAAAACGAATTCACGTAGAACGGATTTTCGCATAAATCAGGGTCAGGCGTAGTTTAAAAGGAATCACGAGTCGAATCGTTTACTTGCAAATTGTTGTAGAAGTTCGAAAGGAAAAGTAAGGAACAGTGGCATTCAATATCCTTTTTCCTTACCATTTATTTATTTACTATCCTATCTATTCACCTCCACAATAAGTAGAGCATTATATAAAAAATGTCAACCCTTGTTCCAAGGTCAGAACGAATTTCGCGAGCAATTGCTTTCCCATCAAACGAAAGGTATAGAATCACACGCCGCGGCGGTCGTGACATATATTTTTCAAACACCCTATATGTACCTACATACGTGCACAAAACCGCATGCCGAAAAGCTAGACGGCTGGCTGCTGCTTACTCGTCCGGCCGCATCACATTTCGACGGCGACAAAATGAGCGCCGACGGCACGAGCAGAGCATTCGTATGATAACGAGCGTAACTCTGCGAGACATGAAACGGAATGGTAGAGGGGATCCGTGGGGGTCAAGGGGCCGGGGGTGAAACGAAAACGGGAGCACCGGAGGGAGGCGTTGAGCGTAGGGGGCGACGGGGGACGGGGTGTCCGGGGTAATGAATGCAAATGTATTGAAATCCAAATCATTATTTTGTCTAGACGCATCGTATGCTCTATTGCACGCTCCTCCCGGCTTAAGGAAGGGGCACACAGGAGTTGCGGGGCGGATTAAGGGAAAGAGGAAAGGGGACTGTTGTTTTTCCTCGTCTCTGTGTACCTTGAAGCGATGCTGCTAATTTGCTTGTACCTTTATCCCTATGATGTCCGACGTTTCCCTTTTTTTTCGGCCTTCCTTTTCGCCTTCCTGGCTTCTTTTTTTCCTCGGACGAATTTGTTTGCCGCCCCTGCCCCCGGTACACTGTTCCTGCCACTCTAAATACACGCCCCGCGTCTTTTCTCTTCGCTGTTTTGTTTTAGCATTCTGTAGAACACTCTTTGGCGGGGTGTTTTCGTTCCGCAGATGTCTCCGAGGAAATTGATAAACTCAAATTTCGGGCAGGGTTTTAGCGAGATGAGAATGAAAGTGTTGTTGGGTTTTATTATTTCTTTGTTTTGTTACTTGTTATGAATAATTTGGTGCTTAGTTTTGTAAGCGTATGAAACTTGCGGTTGTAATATTAAGGGTAGCGATTTAAAGATAGCATTGAAGTTTTGATTGAAACAGATGAAATTCTTACGTTATCTAATTTTACTAGCTTGTCTATTTTTTAATGTGTTTTGTATGATTAAGAGTAGTAATTTGAAAAAATATTTAAATAAGTGTTATTCAAAGTTCTAATAAAAATATTAGTATGATAGTAATGTATGTAAATATGAATCATAAAGTAAAAACATAGCTGTGCAATGTGTTTATATTGTAAAATGCTGTTATTTGAATCAAAATTTAAATTTAAATTTAAATCCACTAGTTTTAAAAGTTTCATTAATTTACAGTTAATTAACAAAGTTTTAATTCTTTCATTGATTAATTGCCATTGAAAAACTGTTCATCAAATCCAACCTAAAGAATAAAAAAGTCCATAAAATCAAGCTAATACAAACCTACTTTATTCTTTTTAATTCTGAAATTATTAAATATCTGAAATGATTTGAAAAATGAACAGTTTCAATTGAATACTATAATAAACATATGAAAAAACCAAAAATACTCTGTAGCTACAATTTTTATAAGAATTACATATTAATCATATTAAACGTTCGTAGTTCAAGTGTTAACCCCTTACTCTATAATATCATGTCAGACTAGCGATGAAAATTTCAAGCTAAATTCGACAAATCTAAATGTTACTCACTTGTTTTCAATATAAACGAAATATTACTTTTTTGTCATCAGTCATGAAGTTTTAGAGTAAACGTACACACAGAATAAGCATCAAATTCTTTTCTTTACGTAATAAATTATTAACGATAAAGTAGTTTTATTAAGCATAGCTGCGAAAGAAATCATAGAACAAGGGGTTAAATAGTAATAAAGAAAAATGCTTACAATGTTAGGGGTTGCCACCCCATCTCAATTTTACAAGTACGAGGACAATAAGAATGGCATGCGAGGCAAGAAGCATTACCCAGCAAACATAAATACTGAATTTGTTGCTACGGGTATATTGCCCATGCTTACTCCGCCAGACCCTTTATTATAATTCGCAGTTGAGAGACGTTTGCGTGAAGTATCGGCTCGAGTCTTTCTCTGTCCCGGTCGTTTTACATCGCAGTCGGCAATCAGAATTTTATATCGACCATTTGTTTTTACGCGACGCAGCGTCTTTGTCGAACGCATCGGCCACATCGTAAAGTGGAAATACAGCCGCGG